TCGGAATACTTGGAGCTTCTCTTTTCCATCAGTTCGCGGGCTACTTTGGGGCAGCTCACTACTACGATTGGTTTGTTGAATATTTTGACGAAAAACAAATCCCCTGTCCCGAGGAGAGCGGTCGTGTGAATGGCAATATCGGTGTCCATAAACGCCACCTTTACCGTATTGCTTGGCCCATTGTGCGAAAACTTTGAACTGATATTCGGAGGGAAGTTGATGGAGGTTTCCTAGCAGAGGAAGTGGCTTTGGACCGAGGGGGAGTCGGCGGTTGGCACCATACTTGCCACGGGAAGAGACAAGGATGGTGAGCACGAGGAAGGAGATGAGAGCGAGGATGATTTCAGAGTTGAAGGGAACTGACATTGTCGACGAGCTGAATCGCCAGAGGGCAGCCGGGCGGCATTTATACCAGTTTCCATTAGGTTTGTTGTGGATACAATAGAATGCGAGCTTGGTCGAATAGCAAAGGGGCACGATTTGATGTTCCTCAGTACATCAGCACCAGACTGCTTTGCGACTCGGGTTCAGTCAACCGACAAGATATGGAATGGAGAAAGTGACGTCTGGGAGCGATACATCGCGGCTCTGGCATGATATGGAACTGCAGCCAGAGATCGTTGTACCCGGTATGTCAAGTGTCTCCACTTCATCTCAGTCAACATCCGTTGCAATCGGACAACGTCACCGAGCAGAATCCCCATCGTCTTCGACATGCGGCCCGAACACGCGGCAAGAGCCGAAATCGACTTCTTGTGCGGCAACTGGAGGAGGAGGACAGAGAGGGTTCTGCGGAATCTGCAAATTTTGCAGAACCCCATTGATTCCCTCTCCATTCATCTGAAAATTGAGGAAACAAAACATGTACATGTTTCAAGAGCATATTAAACTTCTCATCTCGAAGGAATACAGAATTGGCAAAGAGCATGTTGAAAGTACTGTTCAACAGTGAAGTTGCTCTCGTGGGAAACCTCAGATCTGGCGATTGTCTTCACATTAATCTTCAATCGCAATAACAGGCTCCGCATAATCAAGCATTTGCATCCTTATCGTGCTGCCCGATTTTAGATCAAGGGAGAAAATTAGACAAAGTACGCGTCATGCACCCTACATACTCAGTCCGCCGCGAACGCTGCTAAGGACACCCACGAGGCCCCTGTCCGAACAACGGCCGACCCACGCCCGCACCATGTGAGAACCAAGCACGAGCCGCCGTCCCAGTCCTCCAGGTACGGCCTTACGCTCACTACCCAGAGCATCGTATGCATCCTAACAGTTGTATTGACACCCACACACAATCAATCAACATCAACAAAACCACAACACAACGATAAGGACACACCTCAAACACGAAACAGGTCCATCTACGCTATAAAGGCAAATACATCGGCCGCGTAGGCGTAGCGGGCGGTGCGCCCGAGCAAGAAGTGTCGCTCCAGCACGACCATGAACTAGTCACGAGAGGCCAGGGTCCGACGCAAGTGGAAAAGCACCGGGATCGCGAGCACCACATCAGTATGAAAAGAGTCGTGCAGCGTTATCAGGCGATCGTCCCCACAATCGACGAGGACATAAACTTCATCCTCAATACAGCCCGGCAGGCGACAGAAATGACACAGGCGCTGCTCCCGGGGCACAGGAGGATGGACCCTCCGCAGATGCTCAACAGCGAGGGGGTGGTCGCCACACAGCAGCTTTGTGAGTGCGCGCCGGTCGGCAGCGTTCTCCACACATAGATACGGGCAGAAATATAGCGAGGGGGGCGGGGAGAGGCCACGACCGGGCACGTACACCTGCCGACCGTCCAAGAGGGCGAGGCAGACAGACGCATGCACGGCATCCGCACGTAAGTTGCTACCGCTGCCTCCGTGGCGACTACGAGCTCACCAGTGGCCGCCGCCACAGTCAAGGGCAATTGCAGGTCAAGAGCCATCGAGACAGTCAGGCGCGCCAAGGCATGGTGCAGATCACCAAGCTACGAGGGCTGTCCCTCCAATGCCAGCGCACGCACCTCCGCAGGGGCAGCGTACGGGAGGGCAGGACGCTTCTCCAGCACGTACAGGAGATAGCGCAAGCCGAGGGCGACGCGCCTGTACTTCAACGACCAGAGACCCGTCTCGGAGTAGAGCACCACCAACATTGATCGCGTGTTGAGGCCCAGCATCCGGCGTAGGAAGGAGGTCTGCACCGCCAGCAGTTCGTCTGCCATGGCAGGGCGTGCATCGAATGCCACCTCGCAGGCCGCAGTGAAATGTGGGTCTACGAGTGCGGAGTAGAGGCTCCGCAGGACCGGCGTGGGCAAAGGGCCAATGCACGACTCGACTGACAAGGCTGCATTCGCCAGCCGCCTGGCCGCCTTGGCCGCTCATTGTGCGTCGCAAAGCCCCTGTGAAACATGATGCCTACGTACGTATATTGATCCACCCGCCGTAGCGTAGTACCAAGGACGACAAGGGACTGGGGAAGCAGTGAGTGGTTTGAAATCAAAGATCCTTTCCTACGCATACATGCTCGCAATTGCAGAACGCCCGTGCACAGGCTCTCCAAATCCCATCAGTACTACCCCTTCCATCACAGCGAGCACGCACGCGTGATGCAACAGTAGTATTTCCAAGCAGCCTCAGCAAAAACTATCCAAGACCACTTTAGGCCCTCCAAGGCCCCATTCTAGCTGCAAATGCGCACCCATCGCTGCTGTGGCCCTCGCACATCCATTTACAACAAATGGTCGAGAACCGTCACGGTTTATACTTGTACTAGATAGTAGCTCATGACATCCCGAATCATCTGCGCCTTTGACTTGAACACTCACCAATCATGCTCTCGTCTCTTATATAATTTCCGCCTGCTATCGTTCTGTCCAGGCATTTGTGAGTGAGATCGACTAGCCACGGTTTAGTTAGTTCTTCAGTTGGCAGAAACGTCGGTTGTGTACCCACCTTATAGCATCACGAAGACTAAAAAGTGAATAAGCACGATGCAGGTAGGCATTTTCAGCCAGATGATGTCTGATTCCAGATGTGACGCATGTGAACAGATGATACTATACAACGGGCCAAGCAACAATCATGGCTATCTCCATACTTCAGTGATGTAAACCTTACTGACTTGTACTACATAACAACATCAGGGTTGTACAGGGCGATAGTTTCCTTCGCCTTCTCTGATCGCGGTACAATATCACATTGGAATTCATGGAGCAACGTGACTAGGCGAGTATAAGCACACAATAGAATACTAATATAAAAACAAACTCGTACCTAATAACGCCATCCGCAAAATTTACTTCTGGTGTAACTTCCTCTCCTGCCACAGTTTCGAGTGCCTTGCGTATGTCCAGTGTGGATAACATATTCACTGCAGAGGTTAGCCAGACATTAGAATCACCCAAGTTCTGGCCAGGACAGATTCTACACGAGATCGTCTTGAGATTTTTCTTGCATGACATGACCCGAGGCTTCTCACCGCCTGCCGAAACCGAAGATGAATTTAGCCGGATCGTGCTCGTCCATCGTTTTAGCACCGAGGTGCTCAGCCGCTCTGGCCAGAATCGGTCTGGTTCGGGGTAAACGTCTACACTTCGTGTTAAAGTTGACCTGAAGTCATCAAATGGTACTACTGATGATAACACGGAATGTGGACCCTTGTACATGTCAAGTTCAGTGTGACCGCTTATTACAACAACATCGGAAGAAGGAACAAGTGAACATAGTACTGCATCTAACGTTAACAATCCTAACACAGACACAACAGATACTAAACAACGGTAGTAATACAGAAGCATCTTTGAAACCCGTCTGATATTAAGCAAGCCCGTCCGGATCGTACAGCATGATCACTTCCTTCACCTTCTCCGACCGTGGTCT